CAGACTAAAAGTGTTTAACGATATATAAATTTTTTGGAATAAAAAATAATAATAATAAAAAAATTATAATTCAAAATTAGTATAGACAAATATTGACGTAAAACTGTAGCAGTTGATATAAAAATTTATAAAAGTGAAATAATTAAATTTTAAATCTTAACGTAAATATGTGAGAGTTGACCTAACAAATCAATTGAGTAAAAAATTTCTAATTTTAGTGAAAAATAAATATTTAAATATATATTTTTTGACTAAATGTGTTTAACAATATATAAATTTTAATTTTTAAATAAATAATAATAATAATTATTATTATAGTTCAAAATTATCATAGATAAATTTTGACGTAAAACTGTAACAATTGATATAAAAACTTATAAATGTAGAATAATTAAATTTTAAATTTTAACGTAAATGTATTAGAGTTAACGTAATAAGTTAATTAAGTAAAAAAGTCTAATTTTAATAAAAAATAAGTATTTATATTTATTTTATCTAGTTAAAAGTATGTAAGGATATTTAAATTTTTATTTTAAATAAAGAATAATAAAGATAAAGATAATTATAGTTAAAAGTTATTATTGAAAAGGTTTAATGTAAAATTATAAGAATTAACGTAAAATATTATAAAAATAAAATAAACAAAGTTAAAATCTTAAGGTAAATACTTGAGAGTTAATGTAATAAGTGATAATAATAATTTTTATTTTATTAATTAATTAAATATAATTTTAATATTAAAAAAATAATATTCTTATAATTTAAAATTAAAAATAAAATAAAATTAAACTTAAATAACTTTTAAATAAACTAAATAAATTTAAAAATTATCTACATTGTTATCTTAAAATGAATAAATTTAAAAATTATATATATTATTTATCTGTTAATTTATTAAACAAGTTTTTATTATTTTTTAAAAATTTTATTTGTTGAACTTACATAAGATTAGATTTACTGTAGCATTTACCTAATAAAAGATCCTAACGTGCCTAAACCATAAATCGAAAAATGAAAAGGAAAAAAGAAAAAGGGATGGAAAAAAACGAAATTGACCTGAGGTTGCCACGAATGCGCCATGGTCCTCCGGTTTATAGGGGTCTGAGGGCTGCGCGCGTGTAAAACCCCCTGTTCTCGTCGATCCCACTCTTTTACTCTCCACTTCGAATCTCTCACTCAAACAAAAGAATCCAATCGAGTCGAAAAAAATAAATATCAAATTTCTTTTTCATTTTTTTTTACTTTCTTTCTCAGCTATTTGGTTGAATGGAGCTGTTAGATGGAAACTTAGAGCTCAAAGAGGTTCACAAGCTCCAAGGCCACACCGATAGGGTTTGGAGCCTCGCCTGGAATCCCGCCACCACCGCCGCCGATGTTCCAGCGGTTTTCGCTTCTTGTAGCGGAGATAAGACCGTTCGAATCTGGGAGCAGAGCCCCTCCACACGTTCCTGGGACTGCAAGGTCCTCCTCTCCCTCTATTGATTCATTTCTCCTTATTTTTCATTTTCCTTTTGCTGAAAAAATTGTTAAGTGGAAGTTAAGCTGATTTGTGCTAGGTCAGCAAATTATAAATTGCAAAATTTTGTTGCCTTTTATTTTTAACTGACATAGAAAAGATTTTGTTGAACTGGTTTGAAATTTATAATTTTACTGATAAAATCATTCGTTCAAAATGGAATTGATTCCACCTCTTATTAAAATTTGTTTCTAAATGTTAGTTTAAGTGATGCTTTGTAGGGATTTATGGTGACTTGGAGTGTGATTTTTGTTTTTCAGGCCGTTTTGGAAGAAACACACACTAGAACGGTCCGGTCTTGCGCTTGGTCACCTTCTGGGAAACTGTTGGCCACTGCAAGCTTTGATGCTACCACAGCTATATGGGAAAATGTTGGGGGTGACTTTGAATGTGTTTCCACTTTAGAGGTATTATATTATCCCGTCAGTTTTTCTTCATTTATTTGGAGCTTTCAGTCTGTTTTGATGTTACCTGCGTGCTGTTTAATAGCAATTCACTAAGAAAAACATATTTACACTGTGAAATTGTGACTAAAGGGAAATGCTTGACAATGTAGAAAATGATGGAGTGCAAACAATATCATGCTTCTCACATTCAGCTAGAATTATTGTCAAATGTGGCAAATATTTAGTATTTAGAATTTTTATTTTTGTTAATATATGGTCCATATGTTGATAATATTGGAACCATTAATTAATTAATTAATTTATTTGCTGTGGTGTATAGGGTCATGAAAATGAAGTGAAGAGTGTATGTTGGAATGCATCAGGTTCTCTTCTTGCGACATGTGGGCGAGATAAAACTGTTTGGATTTGGGAAGTGATGCCGGGGAATGAATTTGAGTGTCTTCAAGTTTTGCAAGGCCATACTCAAGATGTGAAAATGGTTCAGTGGCATCCTACTATGGATATTTTGTTTTCTTGTAGTTATGATAACACTGTCAAGGTACCTTATAGGCTAAATGAAGCTCTGATCTCTATAACAAGATCAAAAAATCTTTGATCTTTTGATGCTTTTATTATATGCCCACAAGATTAAGAAACATGATTGAATTTGTGATACATCCACTTTTACTTGTAGGTTTGGTGGTCAGAGGATGCTGATGGTGATTGGAGCTGTGTACAAACTTTAGGTGAATCTAGCAAGTACTATGCCTAAAACTCTTTCTATCTTTGCTGTTTCAGCTGATTTTCTGGTCTATTGTACTGCCTGACATGTAGTCTTTCTTTATATCATCCCATGAAGTAGTCTTGTGATGTCTTTAACGTTTGCTAGACCTTAAAGATTTTTGTCTACTGGTTTATGAATTTGTCAGACTACTAAAAGCTCTTGTTTCAATAACTTATGGTCAGTGGTCACTCTTCCACCGTTTGGTCACTTTCTTTTAATGCTAAGGGGGACAAATTGGTAACTTGTAGGTATGTATAACAATTTTCTCCTTCCAACCTGCAGTAATTGGAATTATGTTATTTGCTGATGTATGGCATTGATTAGAAATCTGTTGCAAACAAAAACAGAACAGTTGTAAGAAGTAGGACTAAAGTAAATTGAACTTGTTTTTCAGTGATGATCTTACCCTGAAGATATGGGAAGCAGACATCATAAGGATGCAATCTGGTGATGGCTATGCATCCTGGTGAGAAACATGCACCCCCCCGCCCCCCCAAGCTTCTCTCTCTCTTTTCCATTAAATCTTTCACATTTCCTAGGTCTTGGTTGTCATATCAGATCTGTAGCCTAGGCTGGTTTGGACATTGGAGGACTTAGATATTTTATTAATGTCCTTGAATCTCGTTTTTCCATTAGTTTATAATGTGTAGAACTTTGTTTGGCCATCTCCAATAATTTGCTTACACAACTAAAAATCAGAATCAGTGATAAAATTTATGGCTTATGATATTCATTGGGAAGCTATTAATGCTCACAATTTGATGTCAAGAAACTCATTGTTGCCTTGTGAAACTTAGAAGCATCATGTCTTAGTGTCGTGGCAGTAGCATTCCTACCAAAGAAGTAACGACCCAATTTCTTTGTGATTAACATGCATATTCCAAATATTTTTTGAAGCTTTTGCAGAGCAGATTGTGAACTGAACATATAAGATCTACTTTAATGTTTAGCTTTATTAATCATAGCATGTATCCGGAAGGGATTGAAACTAACTGATTCAGCATATATATATTGTATTGCCTCTCTTTTCTTCTCGTTTATAACCTTTTAATGCATTATGATAATGAGGTTTACTTTTATGGTTGTCCAGGAATCATCTGTGCACTCTCTCAGGTTATCATGATCGAACAGTTTTTTCAGTTCACTGGTCGAGGTAGTGACACAGTATTATCGTAGTAACAATTTTCTATTCAGGGCTTCTCTCTCTCTCTCTCTCTCTCTAAATGTTAGATAAGTCTAAATGACAACAAAACTGCTTCTATGTTCTGATGCCAGGAACACCCTCGTGTTTACCCTTTTGTTCTTTTTAATTGACCTTTTTTTTTTGTCCTTAAAAAGAAGAAAAATACTGTCCCAAAGAAGGAGCTGAAGGACAGTTAAGTTCCTTGATTTGCATCATCATTACTATTTTCCAGTGATTTTGATGTTTTTTAAAAGCTTAAACGTACCAGTCGCATTAGCCATAATCATGATCTTATGGAAACAACTCTTGTGCTGATGGATATTTTCACAGTGTATAACAATTAAACTCTCTTTCATTAACCATTGCATATACTTACAACTTTCTGTTTTCAAGATTTTAGTAGCAACTTTGTGAGAAGCAGGATGACTATGGCCAAAGGAGTCCTGTATCAACTCTCTTTCATTTTGAAACTATTTTACGTGATATAACTGCTTTTTGGCTAAATTAGTAAGTATGTTCATTAACAAAGTGTATGTGGCTATTTTAACATATGACTTGGTTAATCTTATTTTGTTAAAGTGGATTAATTTGTTGCCTTTATGGTTGCATGTTAGAAGTTTGAGTTAGGATCATGTAAGAAACAAGTAGCCACTGCCCTCTACTTTTAATATTTATTTTCCATCTGAATAACTTTCTTTTGTTTCAAGTTTTGCATCTGAAATTGGTTGTGTCTGGCTTATGACTATTACAGGGATGGAATTATTGCAAGTGGAGCAGCTGATGATGCTGTACGGTTGTTTGTAGAGAGCAAAGATGGCTTGGTATGTGATTCTTTCATCCTTCCATTGTACAGATTTCCATGCAAGCAAGAAACCATGCTTCAGTATTAGTGTCCTTCTCCTATCTTTGACAGAAGGATGGTTCTATAAATTCTAGCTGAAGTATTTGAGCAAATTGTCCTGTAGTTCTTGAGTGGATGGTCACCCCTCTGCATTTATACCTTTTAGGTTTGAAAGTATCCATTCAGCAGATTAATCTATTTTGTTGTCTTACTACAGATGAATGGACCTTCATATCAATTACTATTTAAGAAGGAGAAGGCCCATGACATGGACATAAATTCAGTACAATGGTGCCCTGGGGTAGGATTTCCTTTCTGAAAAATTAATGAGGTTTTTTTTTTTTTTTTGTTGTCCTTTCATGCACATGCTCATAAAAGCTGAAATGAATATAAGTCACAAAATAATTTTTTTATGCATGGTAGAGTCTGGTGGTTGGCTTGGTTATTGGGTTCTTTTTGTCTTTTTCTGAACTGATGGCCTAATGATTGATTTGCTAGTATAGCTCAAACCCATGCATTTAAAATGGTGGCAAGGTCATCTAGAAAGGATTCAAAATGAAGACAACTTCTGATTAAATGTACATTTCATTAGCTTTACTGTTCTGGTCTGAGTCTTATACTATATTTCCCATCAATTGCGCCGTGCATGTTTACGAAGCAGCCCAACTACCACATTTTGCTAGAATTTGCCTAGAATTTCACTTCTTCACTTTTATTACTGCATCTTTCTTTCTTTGTATTCTATAGATTTTTTTGTTTCAGAGCTGCTGTATTTGGGAGTTAATTGTTAACAGAATCTCGTTGTTAATAGAAGCCCGAATTGCTTGTACTACCCTGTGATTGTATCTTAAAACGTATTTTCCTTGTGTCTGAACTTTAGCTAACATTTCCATTTTCATTATTGTCGAAACTAACAGGAAAAGCGTCTACTTGCTTCTGCAAGTGATGATGCGACGATAAAGCTATGGGAGCTGGCAACTTTGCCCTGATCAAAATTTTGTGAAATTCGTTTTTTTCCTTTTTAGAATACCTCTGGGGTTTACATATGTACGGTTTCATAAATATGAATAAGTGATCTTGTAATGGTTATTGTGGATTTGACAAAGACACAAAGTCAAGAAATCAAATATTATTTGTTAAGGAAAACATGGTTGAAATGATAGTCGCGCAGAATTTGTGTATAATTTGTGAGAGAAAGACCAAGAAAAAAAGGAAAGAATCTCTGCTTGGAGTGAACGAAAGCCAGACTTGTAAATTGAAACGATTTTCTCTCGTCCCGTCGGTGAGACAGCTCTGTCAGGCGGCCGATGCAGTGTAGATACTGACCGTCTTTTCTGATCTTGGACACCAATTTTATTAACACCAAATTGGGCATTGAAGAATTTAGGGGAAGAAAAGAGACTAAGAAAAAACGGGTGTAGAAAAAGATAGTAATAGTTTTTATTAATTGTCACCTTCAGGAATGCCCCAAAGTGACTTGCACCACTCAAACGGCGGAGCCTCGTTGAAGGGTGGACTGGGTTTTTCCCCGGTTTGGATAATGCTGATATCGACTAACCTCACAAATTGCATTTTCTATGTATCCTGAATGAGCTGGTACATATTAGATTTGATTATTTCTCTCTAATGCAGCAGTAGCAGCTTATCTGAGTAAATAGATGAACGAAAGCAATCTCAATCTTACTTACCCGAAGACTAAATCAAAGCTCATTTTTCGTAACTAAAAAGATTTTACCAGATTCATCATTACATCGCCTACAAAACAAAACAATCACTTGGGCAAATATCACAGGCAAAGAGAGAAAACCAACCATTGGCATGTATTTTTGTTTTTTTCAATCTTGATTAGAAAACAAACAAAAGATTTAATAATTAATTAACATCTGTTTTCTATTCTAAATCTGCCAGAATTTGCTGTTCTTCCTTCTTCAATCAAAGCTGCACGAGCTGACATAATCCCACTAGGTACCAAAGAAGCCTCGAATGCAGAACAATCAATCCAATCCTTCAAAAGCTCTTCCTGACCCCATATTTCAGGAATCCAAACCCTGCCTGCCACTTCAATCCTATGCCTCCTCAGTCTCTCCCGTCCATTCTCTTCTTCCAACTCTTGAGCCCTCATTGCTTCTTTTGTTACGTCGACAACTACTGGAGTCGGAGCTGACGAAGACTGACCCTGTAACGAGCTTCCCTCGCTATTAATTTCTCTATCATTTCTATCACTGTCATACTGGCAGGTTTCCATCCCTGAACTTCCTGTCTCAACATGAACGACGTCGTCAGGCTGCTGATAATCACTTGTCTTGGGTTCTTCTGGAAGCTGGGGATGAGCTTGCTCACCAGGCTGAACGAGATAATGGTGGGTCATTTTTGCGGGTTCTACGTTCATGAAGTTGAAACGAAAAGCCTTGTTTCTTCTTTGGCTGATATCCTTTTGTTGAAAGAGGCGAAGAGAGGAGAGGAGAGGAGAGGAGAGAGGAGAGGATTACATTTACATGGAGAAATGGGGTTTGATGTGCGGGGGAATAAAAGCAAAGAGAATGGGTGGGGAGTTGGTGTACACGTTATCTCTTTGGAAGTGAGTGTGTTTTTCTACTGTAGTTGTATGGTAATTGACAAGTGTACGTGTCTTGTTTCAAGATGGTTAGGATTCCATATTGCGTGGTTTAGTTCCAGGTCTGAATAAACACCAAAAAAGGAATGGAAAAAGAGGGTTCAAGAAAGGAAGAATTTTGGTATATGATTCCTTGGATGGACTTTTGGAAGGATTGTGAGGTTGATGTTGATCTTGGGTTACAAACCTTATGATTTTTGGGATATATTAGCCAATCAGGTTGCCACTTTTGATTTGACGAAATTAAATAAATATACTATAAATACAAATTAAAAAAATAATGTTCTTTTTCATTTAATAAGATTTAGACTCCTTTTGTAGATTTTTTGTTTTCCCGACGTACACCTCAACTGCCCTCTCTCCCCTCTCCTTTTGTTTGGGTCCTCACTTTCTTTCTCTTTCTGAAAATTCTCGCCCCTTTTTCTATTTTATTCTATATATATAAGTATGGTACACGTGTATGTATATATGTATATGTATATACATTTTTCGACACATTAATTTTGTAGAATATGACCTTCTACTCTTTGGATACCATGGAGCTTTCTTTAAAATTGACCACACAATTGTTTTCCATATCAATCTTGTTTGAATCTTTCATTCAAAATGCACAATTCTTAATGATTTTTTATCCAAAGATATTGTTTTTTTTTTTGTTGTAAGAAAAATTATAATAAGATATTTAGATGTTTAGTTTGTTGAATACATATGGTTTTTATTTGCATTATATATGTTTTGTTTCTTTTATTTTCTTACCCTTTTCTCAGTTCTTATATGGTTTTGGTAGATGTTGATGATGTTAATTTTGATTACAAAAATCTTATGGAGTAAGACACATTTTCTTATAATTAATTTAAGGGATTACATAATCTATTTTGATAAAGAAAAGTTTATCGAAAAATAATTTACAAAAAAGTATCAAATGTCAAATTATAATTATCAATATCATATGATACACAATACATATCATTGAATATGTTATGATATTAACAAAAAATTATACGAAATAATATGATGTGTTATATTTAATCAAGTATTGAAAATATATATAACATGATACATATGATACGGTACAATATATTTTTTTATAAATTTTATTTTATGTACTTACTAAAAATGGATTTTTTATTTAATTTCTTTTGGATTGAAGCAGAATAAACTATTTTTTATGGATCTCAATCTTCGAAATTTAGACTTTAAAAAAAAAAAGAATCCGTTTTTTTTATATTTAAAAGTGCATGTTAAAAGTGCATATCTTATTTAATTATATATATATATTGAATAACATATTGAGAGTTTAAATTAAAAAATAATTATTTTTTCAGCTTAAGTCATATAATCTTCAATTTTATTAATGAATATAATTTTTTATTTTTACGTGTATATATATATATATGTTATTTTATAAGTAATTTAAAATTTTTTTGTTATATGTTATTATATGATATAATATTCAATATTTAAAAATAAATTTCAATACATGATATGTATATAAATTTAACGATTATAAATTAAGCTCAAGCTTGATAGAAGGCTAGATAAGGAAACGAAAACAGTCATTTTAGTTAGTTATTACTGACGAAATAAGAATTTTTGCCATTAAAAAGAAAGAAATGGAAAAGAGATTCTAATAATAATAATAATAATAATAATAATAGTAATAATAAAACTCATTTTGGGTTTGAAGGTCAAAGTCAAACGGGTATTTATCAAGTACACGTACATAATAATTCCTCAAGTTGGAGAGGCAAGAAAGTGATCTGTGTCTTTGTTCAGTGGTAGGGCACCTGCTCCATGTGGGTATGTCTGTTAATTTTGGACCTTAGTCTTGTCCTATCAAACAAGCTTACAACGTCTTTCAATGATATAGACTGTTTTTATACACGTCATTTTCTATTTATGATAAAAAAAAAAGAAAGAGGAAAAAGGGCAAAGAACCCATGTGGATTGGATTATGTGTAGTCCACAGCATACACAGCCTTTGTTCTCCATTTGATGTCAACTGCTGCCTGCTTTTGCAGCTGTCGTTGGCTATGTGAGAATCACCTCTCCTTATAAGTGGGCCTACTCACCCTTCCTGACTGAGATGGACTATCTGCTCATTTAAACCCACCGATACGACATGATATTTAAATCCATTCTCATATTTTAATTAATAGATATTTTATTTACTTTAATTTTAGAATATATTTAAAATATTTTAATTATCAATGTAATTTCAATAAGTGGGTCGGATCAAGTCTTAAATTTTAAAATATGGATTAAACCCTGATATGATCTAGCTCGATCCTTGAACACCTCTAATAAGAATACCATAAAAATTATTTGAATTAAAATAAAAAATAACAAAATGTATAGAACTTAATTGAATACAATAAAATAATAAAAATTTATTTGATTTTTTTAAATAATTTAAAAGATTTTTTTAAATAGTATGCTTAATATTTTTTTACTTGACATATGTAAGAAGAAAGTATAGAGCATAAAAGACGTAGAATTTATATAATAAATTCTTGTCTCTTATGTAAGGAAATAATTTTTGAACATTTAAACTTTGAAACTTTCAATTAGAATACGCTAAAATTAAATCTAGAAGGGAAAGGACGAAATCTAAGATAAAAGGGGTGATACATGTCTCATTGAATTTATGTTTCAAAAAAAATAATATTGATATAATATATTTTAATACTAATATAACATTAATTATTGTTTTATTATCAATACAGATTAATTAATATTAATAATATGAACCAATAATATCTAAGTAAAAAAGGAACTTTACGATTTATATCCCTTTCCCTCAAATTTAAAAAAAAACTATTTTAATAATGACAACCCTTTTATTTTAAAATTTATTATATTATTATATTTAAATAATTATTTTGTATCTTATTTTTTAGATTTAATATTTATGTCATAAATTTCTTTCTCTAAAAGTTGAGTTAAAAAAGAAGAAGATAAAAGTGAATTATAAGTAAAACAAGCTTTAAATGCACTTGAGGAAATTGATTTCCTTTCCTCAAATATGGAAAACAATTTCCAAAATTTCTTTACGTTTTTCTGTTGACCAAAAATTTTTTGAGTTCCCAAACACCAAAAAATTCAGAATATAACTTCCGAGAATATTAGTTGCCAAGCGAGCCTTAGTACTTGAAAACATTCATGCGGCCTCACTAGGGGCAGCTCTTCTGGACTTCTAGCCCAACTATAAACTTATTAAAATTGTGGAAAGCACCCCAAAAATCTTTGTAATTAAGTGAAGGACCCCATAAGTTTTTGAAAAATGAAAGCTAGAGAACTTGTTATGAAAAGTTTTTCATTTCCCTCCCATGAACTTTCAGAAACCACAGGCATTTGCCAATCTCATGCTAAAAGACTCTAAATCCTTAGCAAGAATAGTCCAAAACTTAGCCCAGACAAAACAATTGCACAAAGGAAAACAACTTCATTGTCAGCTAATCTCATCTGGTTATCGACTATGCACTTTTCTAACCAACCATCTTCTCAACATGTACTCAAAATGTGGTCAACTAGACTACTCAGTCAAACTGTTCGAGAAAATGTCTCAAAGAAACTTGGTTTCTTGGACTGCTATGGTAACTGGGTTTTCTCAGAACTTATATTACTTGGAGGCCGTAACAACCTTTTCCCAAATGAGAATTGCTGGGGAAAATCCGACCCAGTTCGCATTTTCGAGCGTTATTAAGGCTTGTGCTTCTGTTGGGTTGGTTGAGTTTGGGAAGCAAATACATTGCCTTGCATTGAAATTTGGGTTTGGTTTTGATATTTTTGTTGGTAGCAATTTGGTTGATATGTATTCCAAGTGTGGAGTTATGGTTAATGCTTATAAAGTTTTCCAAGAGATGGAGTGCAAAGATGAGATCTTGTGGACTGCTTTGATTGATGGATATGCTAAGAATGGTCTTTTTGGGGATGCGTTGTTCGCTTATAAGAGTATGGTTAATGAGGGGATTGCTATTGATAAGTTTGTTCTTTGTAGCACTTTGAGTGCTTGTGCAGCATTGAAGGTTCTAAATTTTGGGAAATGTCTTCATTCACTTATAGTGAAGAAGGGGTTTGACTTGGAGATCTCTGTGGGAAATGCTCTTACTGATATGTACGCAAAAGTGGGAGATATGGATAGTGCCTCAAATGTGTTTGGAATTGACTCTGAGTGTAGAAATGTTGTTTCTTGTTCTTCATTGATTGATGGGTATGTCGAGATGGATCGATTGGAGGACGCTTTAAGTGTTTTTGTTGAGCTGCGAAGACAAGGAATAGAATCTAATGAATTCACTTTCTCAAGTTTGATCAAGGCTTGTGCTAGCCAAGCTGCACTAGAGCAAGGGACACAGCTTCATGCTCAAGTGATTAAATTCAATTTTGATGGAAACCCTTTTGTTTCTTCAGGTCTTGTTGATATGTACGGAAAATGCGGGTTGCTTGATGATTCTATTCAGGTATTTGGTGAGATTGAAAATGGAAATGAAATTGCATGGAACTCAATGTTAGGCGTCTTTGCTCAGCATGGTTTAGGAAAAGATGCCATAGAGATATTTAACAGGATGAAGAATGAAGGAGTGGAGCCAAATGCAATAACTTTTGTCAGTCTTTTGAGAGGTTGTAGTCATTCTGGCTTGGTGGAGGAAGGGTTAAGTTTTTTTTATGCTATGGAGAAGAGTTACGGAGTAGTACCTGGAGAAGAGCATTACTCTTGTGTTATTGATTTACTTGCTCGTGCTGGAAAGCTTAAAGAAGCTGAAGATTTTATGAACAAGATGCCATTTGAGCCAAATGCGTTTGGATGGTGTTCTTTACTTGGAGCTTGCAAGATCCATGGTGATAAGAAGAGAGGTAAAGTTGCTGCCGAAAAGTTGATGCAGCTTGAACCTGCAAATAGTGGAGCTCCTGTTTTGCTTTCAAATATTTATGCTAAGGAGCAGCAATGGGAAGAAGTGAGAACATTAAGGAAGATGATGCAAGATGGTAATGTTAGGAAACTACCAGGTTATAGTTGGGTTAATGTTGGAAACGAAACTCATATTTTTGGTGTTGAAGACTGGTCTCATCATCAAATGAAAGCAATTTATGAGAAGCTTGATGTTCTTTCAGATCAGATAAAGAAGGCTGGATATGTTCCTTGCACAGATTCCATTCCCTTGGATACGGATGTCAGTGTGAAGGAGAAGATACTTGAGCACCACAGTGAGAGGATCGCCATTGCATTTGCTCTAATAAGCATGCCAAGTGGGAAGCCAATCATTGTAAAGAAAAATTTAAGGGTGTGTGTGGATTGCCACTCTGCAATTAAGTACATTTCTAAGGTGATTGGAAGAAAAATTATAGTCAGGGACAACAGTAGATTTCATCATTTCTCGGATGGGTTGTGTTCTTGTGGAGACTTCTGGTAAGGTTCTGACATCTTGAAGTTTTGACAATAAATTCATGCACTTGACCCACTACCATGCTCACCCAATAATCAGTGAGAGCAGTTGAAATTGAATGATCTTTGCCACAATGTTTACGAGTAAGATGATTGTTATTGTTGACAAGGAACCAAATAGAAACAGAAAGTCCTACACAGCAGACTGAGGACAGCAACTCAACCATCGCATAAAGGCTAAAGCACAGCATATTGGAGAAAGGCGACATTTTTCTGTTTTCATCAGTCGTTGCTTGGCAGATTTAATTTATTCTTTCACTTGGGGATTGAAAAGATGCTATCATGTTTGTGTAACTGTACCTGCTGCATGAGATGGGATTAAACATCTGACATTAGGTAATAGTTTATCGTTCATTATCCTTAATAAAATTGAAAACTACTAGAAATAGAGTGGTAAATATAAACTTTAGGGCTAAAATAATTGAAAACTACTACATTAGTATATAGGGAGGGGTAAAGCAGCCCATTGGGAGCAAAATAGTTGATTTTCTAATGGAAATATGGACTAGGACGAAGTTACATTAAGCAGCTCTCTTTGAATGCTATGCCCAGTGGTAGTAAAACAGGATAGCTTCCGGATAATCCGCAGAAGAGCTTGCTGCAAGCCATAGGAATATTTAATAACAAATCTTTGGGGGCACTTCAAGATCATATTAACAACTGAATAAACACACTGAGAAATCTCATCTTTACTTTCATCAAGTCCACTCTGTACAAGCTACTCAAGTTTTATTCAAATATGCTCTGCTGAAACAAGCTATAACCTAAACTTCGTGAATTTTAATTAACTTATTGAAGAAGTGGGGCTAAAGGTAGTTGATTGCACTGTAAGGGAACAAACTATATAGAAGCAACTACTAACACGCTATATTTCTGCTACATTTTCGAACAAGCATTCGCACTAATAGCCCAAATCAGAAACTGGAAACAAAGAGGACTGTGTAGAACTAAGCAGAGATTTTAGAGTGAGGCCAATAACTACATTGGTCAAGACGATATGTAGAAAATCATTCAAGCTCTTGGATAGCGTGAGCGTCCCTTCTTTTTGAGGAACTCAGGGATCTCCACTGAACCACCTTCACTGAAAGAAGGCCGCCGATTGATTCCAAGACCAATGTCTCCCTGTGCTAGCTGACCTGCCTGCATTTAAACCAGAATCAAGTACAAATTGGTGTGTGTGTGTGTGAGAGAGAGAGAGAGAGAGAGAAAGACCAGAGTTAAGCAGTACCTGGAGTGGCCTCCCTTCACTTTCTTCTTGACGTTTAAATCCCGTGGCAATTAAAGTAATACTTACCTAAATAAAGGCCCAAATGATGTTTGCCATTAAATCAATGGTTCATATTGAGGACAATGAATGTTGCACCTAGACCTCTTCCTAGTCAGTGTGAACATGACCTCCTTTAATTACCTAACTGAAGAACCAACAGAGACAACCAGCCTATATGGTTTTCATCATCAATTCAAAGGTTCACGTTAATGCCAACGTGAATTCTGCATCTAAATTTGGCCTTATTTTACATGCCTCTGTCCATATTTTACCTAACATATCTACAAATCAAGGATTAAATAAGCCTTGGGGAAGCAGAGATGCAATGCCTATGCTAATTTCATTGATAGATAAGGCAGAGACACTTTCCTGGTAATCACAAATTAGACACAGAAGAACTAGCTACTAATGTAAACACAATAAAGGCAAGGCCTTTCTTATTGGACCAACATGCAGTTAATCCATAAAGTCCATCTGTTGCCAGGTTTTAATCTGACTTTTCAGAATGTTTAATTCATTGAATTGCTGTTAATGCAAATGCTTGATTAAAAGTACAGTTAGATGGCAGGCCTACTGAAAGCTAGGTTGATCAGGATGCAGGTATTTGGAGTCCAAACTTTGGCATGAGTATGTGTGAAGAACAAACATTAACTTACTTGGCCACTAAGTGATGGATCTATCACTGCTCCAAATATTAAATTGGCAGTCGGATCCACAAGGTCATATATAACCTCAGCCGCAGCATTAACCTACAGAAAACTCCCAGATGTCAAATGGTGCATATGAGAAGGGAAATAAAATATGGAGGCATATTGTAAAACAAGCAGAACATTCAACATACTCGAGGTCTTCAGTTTATAGTATTTCTGTCAGTGTCGACAATTTCTGGTTATCGGCGTGTGTGTGCGTGGTGGAGGGGAGGAGGATATTAACTGTAAGTTGTTGTTAGCAATGTGCTGAATGGCTATTGTGTAGATAATACAACTCTTGCATGATAACATTGAGAAACACTTGCAGTTCAAGGGCCAATCATGCATCAGGATGGAAAAATATAACAACACTGTTAAGAACTTGACCAACGGAGGAACATTCCTACAATCTTGGCCAAAGATATTGAGAAAGCAATAGGTATACAAGAACTCAAACGATAATTCAAACATGGTCTCAAGTAAATTAATGGCTAAAGGTGTGATATTTCTACAATTGCTTCCCTCTCTAAGGGAATATGCCTATTTATCAGGTATGGTGGTGCTGCTCAGCCTTCAATAACTCTTCTCTTACCTGGAAGGGCTGCACTCACATATAACCCACACCTTTGAGCGCCAGATATAGAAAAAGCTGGATAAATAGGTAGTAGAGGTAATGTTTACCTGTACATATAGCCAGCTCCATCCCACCCCCCTCCCCCCCTCCCATGACAAACACACAGACACACTCGGTGAGGGATTTAGAGACAGAGAATTACCTCAAACAAGGTTAAATCACTTCCACCAGTTATGTTCCATACAATTCCAGTAGCCCTTTCTATACCAAGATCTAATAAAGGGGATTGGATAGCATTTAGTGCAGCATCTCTTGCCCTTGTTTTCCCTACAAAGCAGAAAGAAACAATATTAACATAATAATCAATCAGGGACCAAGTGACTTGGCAATGAAAAGGCAATTTAGGAAATTAAATTGCCAATTAATAAACAAAAGCATCATGATGAGAAGACATCACGAGCCACATGACATGAAAAAATTTGTTTCTTTCAATATCTAACATCAATATGTACTGATAAATGGAAAGAAATGGACAAGCTACCATCACTACTATTTTTGTACAAGGGCAAAAAGAAGAGGTAGAAACTTCATGCATTCAAAGTTGAAGCTGTGCCAAATTTTCTTCTGAGAAAAATAAAGTCCAATCTAGGCCATATTTAGCATCTAAAACACACGTGAGAAACATGTAACATGATGGTAAGCCAGGCTCTCACATCAAGATATGAACCAAGAGGTAAAGCTTGAAAAATCTCTATTTTTCATTTTTACACCTGCGATTCTCTCCCCACTTTTTCCTTGCGTTCTTTTGCTCAGTAAAGGTAGGAGAATATGTGTGATGAGACAAACAACCCGAAATTTTGAAGCCTAAATTATAATGCTAAAGATCTCTTTGATTTACCAGTTGCAGTTCCTATCCCCATCAGTGAAGAGCCTGCATTTGCCATTATAGCGCGCACATCAGCAAAATCCACATTCACTAGCCCTGGAATCTGCAATCAGGAAACGTACAACCAATTAGAGTGCAGAGGTATGGTTTGTGCAGCCCAAACCATTACACATAAATGGGTAGTCATGTAAATACACTGATTTTAACAGGCTTAAAGCTCAAACACTAAGGTTCCGTTCCAGAACTCTGGTATCAATAGATTCGGCAGCACCAATGACCAAATTTATCGCGACTATCTAACATAAATATTTATAATCAATTTAGTCTGCTAACATATAGACCCTGGAACATCTAGGCAACCTTAGGATAAAGATCATGCTTGATAATAAATCAGAGTTACCAAAAACAAAGGCTCAAGATATTTCACCAAAAAGTGCACTCCCAAGCATTATATGGATAAAGGGTATATATCAACATGACACTTTTACCACCCAAAGACTAAGGATCCAAAAATTCATATTGAACAGAAAAAAAAAAAAATCCAGCAGCAGCAAACTATTAGCTTAACCTTGCCATCTAATATGCTAGGGCAACAACTAAAGCAAAACTATTTTGGCCCCAAATTTAAAGTGCACAAATGTTCCTATCACCTGTGAATTATAATATACCACAAACACATTTCCACATATTTCTCTTCACACGATCATCAACAAAATTGGAAGGAAATTGGTAATTTTCAACGACTATATGAGGAGAAAATGATATTACACTTATGTTTCTTTTGCATTAATATATGGGTTTCAGTTCAATCATGAAACCATATAGTTAGATTAGGAGGTTTTCAACAGTTTCTTCAGGCATCACATACCGTAATTATATCAGAGATGCCACGAACACCTTGTCGAAGAATATCATCAGCCAGATTAAATGCTTCTGTTACTGGAGTAGACTGGGAAACTGCAGTCAACAACTTGTCATTTGGAATAACAATTAGTGTGTCGACGTTTTCTCTCAGAGCTGCAATTCCTTCCTGTGCTTGAACAGCCCTCCTTCTTCCCTCAAAGGAAAAAGGGGTAGTTACAATACCAACAGTTAATATACCCAAGGACTTTGCAACCCCAGCAATTACAGGAGCTCCACCAGTTCCTGTCCCTCCACCCATTCCAGCCTGCAAATGCAAACTTGAAGTCCTAGGTAAAATATAAAAGAAAAGACTAGAAGACAAAATAAAGCCAAGATCCCATGCGTTAAACCTAATTTTTGACTTAGAAAACACCAAGTGCAGCAGTACCAGAACAAAAGGTTTTTGCAACTGGTAATTTAAAGAACTAACGTATAAGAGCAAGAATGAATCATGAATTCAATTAGGTCATGAGTCATCAAATACAAGACAAATCAAACTCTAGGAAACAGTAGGACCAGATACATAACAAAAATATTATGGATGTTTAACTTAAATGGCTATTAATACACATCTAATACTCAGAAAGTAATAACAAGTTCAGCTTGCAGTTGGAGATTAATACATATTTTTTCAACTCCCTAACTGTATAAACTGTTCATGAAACTAATTAGCCATTCAACAGATTGAACAGGTTTTATGAAACAAGAAACCACGTGTCAATAGCTAGATTAGATGTGTTTCTCATATCACCAATAAATGTTCACTATCAAAAGGCCAATTGAAATATTTTCTTTCACAAATATTCTTCACTAGTCTCCTAGAGTGGTCTGGCTAATGAATAAACAGAAAATAAAACTATTATTCCAGTGCATAGCATATTTTGCTCGATTTATGTGTACAGTTTAGATTCAAAAGACACCCATGAAATCAGAAAGGTAAGAATATAAGTAAAAAACCAAATTCTATTGAAATGATTAAAATTGTAGGTGGATGGCTACTTACTGTAACAAAAACCATATCAGAACCATAAAGAGCCTCTTCTATTAACTCCTTGCTTTCTTTGGCAGCATTCATGCCAATCTCAGGGTTCCCACCAGCACCAAGACCCCTAGTTAGCTCCTGACCAATTTGCAAACGATGCTCAGGAAAGACAGGTGACATTTTCATGGCTTGAACATCAGTGTTAACAATCCAGAACTCTACACCCTTCATTGCACTCTCTATCATGCGATTAACAGCATTGGACCCACCGCCTCCAACACCAATAACTTTGATCTTAGCTTCATTATAGTTACTTGAACCAGACATGTCTCCTAAGCTCTCTGTGACACTTCCACTAGAACTATCCTTCCTTGGATTGGTTACTGTATTGTTCCCTTCACCTCTAAGCATTGAAACTTCTGGGTGCAGATTCAGAAAAGGGTCTTTATTTTGATACGGACTGACACTTTGAGAGTTGGGAGAACATCTAAAATGTGGCATGGTAGACCTTTGGCCAGCACTTGAACACCCACTCCTCCCATCACACATTTTAAGGCAGCCAACTCGCCCTAAAAGATTATCCATTGACACTCTTCCTCCAAGAACATTAAGTACCCCCATTGGTCTGGTATCTGAAGGTGTGAAATACGGCGATATAGCAGTCGCCATTTTGAGGGAACCACTAAGAGCACAGATTTACTTAAGATACGATACAAGCCAGAGAATTTAGAGTCTTAAATAGCCTAAATTTCAAGTTGCACTGTCAACTTTCTTTCAATACCTGCATTAAACACTCAAAAAAAAAAAAAACTATATTAAAAAAATATTTAGAAAAAACCCATTAGCTAAAGCATTATCAACGTCTTCTTGGCAATATGACCGTACAAACAAAATAAATAAACCTTAAAACTAAAAATAAATGCTTAAAGGATATAACTTTCTAAATTCAAGAGCACAAAAACCTAGCAAAATGTGAATTATAACATCAAACAAGTTGCCAAAATACATTCAGAAAAAAAAAAATCCAATACATAATACCTTAAATGCTTCAACTTTAAAGTTTACAGCAACCAGATTCACAATTCATAACCAACAAAAAAAACCCAACCTTGCAGCTAAAAGCCAGAACCAAAATTTTCTTTTTAAAGAAAGCGTATAAATTAATAAAAAAGCACCAAAATGGAGAGCAAATGGCAGCTGGGTCTTCAAGAGAAAGAGAAAAAGAAAACACCTGAGAGACATGCGGGGTCGAAAACACAGAAACAGCAAAGTTCCCCAAATGCATCTGGGTGCTAAAGCCCAACAAGGAGTGGAAATGGGAGAGGGATTTTTTGTAGCAGGACTTGAAACTCTTTTCGGCTTTAGCTATGCGATTTCATTTGTCAGGTTGCTGTTGATAAAAATAAAAAGTGAAAAAAAGGAAGTAGTACTCGAAAATAAAAAAGACATGAATTTATTTATGGGAAACGGCTATAGGTTAGATTTATGAATATTGCCCAGTGACAGGGTTTAAGCGGATAAACCCTTAAAATGCCTGGCCCTTAAAATGCTAAACCCTTTTTTCTGTTCCACTATTTTCTGAGGTTTTCATTGGAGGGCGCCCACAAGAGTTGCGAGCCCAATGTTGTCATGTTGATACATTTTGCGGTCCAGAGAGATGATTAGTACCGCTAAGTGAATTGGCCCTTTGCATTGTCTTTCTCACTCTTAGTTGATTGTTGAGAATTGAGTTTTTCCTCCTCTTTGCTCTAAATTTGGATCTCGCGTTGCTCTACACAGCTTATTTTAATTCAGATATTTTTTTAAGGAGAGAGGGGTAATATTGTAACAAGTAAAATGAGATAGTCGGAGAGAAAAATTAAAGTAGTCTTAAAATGTTAAGTGCTTTTGTGACATGAGATAAAGGGATACAAATTAGATAGAAGATAAAGTAAGTGTAGTGATGAAGCACAATGGGGAAGAGCTTAGAGATAGCTTTTAGAGAGAATATAAAGTTTGCTGAATTTCTAATGTGTCCCAATTGAATTGCCAAACTCCTATGTATACACAAAGTAGAAAGAGTTTCTTAGGAATAATTGGTTTAAATGTGCTTAATGGACCTCATGGGAAGAGGATGTTTATGAAGAATATATTTATTATGGAAGAACGTCCATTATATAAGAACGTGTTTGTCACGAGGATATCATGTTAACTCATTATGTATATTGGATAGTAGGTAGATGTTTTGATTTTATGATACAATGGAGCTTAATGACATTTAATAATAATGTGTCATGTGTTTCTTAAGAATTAGAGAAAAGACAAAGCATTTTTCCTTCAATTAAAGATTAAGAGCAAGAACTCTTTACTACCTACACATCAAAGTCATCAAGTTAAACACTCTCAGAACCATGTGAAATTAACTCATGAACTTACCACTTGTTTCAAGTTATTATCATTGTTCTTGTGTGACATAGTTCTTTTAAAAAACAAAACAAACTTCATTGATTGGAAGAAATGAAATTTTCTCTTTCTTCTACAACAAAAAAATAAAAAACCACGAAGATTTGGATAGTATAACACCCTAAAACTCCTTTCAAAATACTGATGCACCCTTTGTCATGAACAAATGAAAAATAACCCCTCCTTTCCCAATACAAAGACAATCAAGAAAATTTCCAAGACTAACTCCCAATTTACATACAACCCAACAATCATGTTCCTTTCTCTGAATGAAACTTGTAAGTAAAGTAAAAAATATTAATTTGGGAATGAAGATTAAAGAACTTGATTGCAATATTAATGAAGATTGAAGAACAGGATTGCAGAATCAAGTAAAGAAAAAAAGCATGAGCAACTCACGTTTTTAGTTAAAAAGAAAAAAAAGACATGTATACAGTATTTAAACCTATTTACTAAAACTCATCGTTTTATTTTTACTATTTACTTTTGGTTTAATAGGAAGTTAGTTAGTTGCTAACCAACTTTACTAATTTTTCCCTCTTTTGTAATAGACTTTCTAACTTTTATTTTTCATGTATATAAATCTCGTTCTCTCATTTTTCATTTAGGTAATAAAAAGATTTTTCTTTCCACGAAAGTTTCTCTCAAGCTTTTGTGATTTTCAACATGGTATTAGAGCCACTAGTACATGATAGGATTCTTGAATGCAAATCTCTTTCAAAATACTTGAGGTTTTGCAATTGATTCAATTCATTCTATCTACTGTTTGATTTTTGATTTTTTTCTTTGCTTTATCAAAAGATCACGTATTTGACTATATAAATCTGGTTTTGTTTTTTAGATTATTCTTACTTGAGGTTTCTCTTAACTTTTCTGGAATCTTATTTGTTGAAATTGAATTGTTGCTTTATTGTTGAGTTTATGGTATTTTCTTTATGGTTGGGAATTCACAAACCATTGAGAATAATTCTCCAAACCCTAGATTTACTAATTAACATCTAGAGGATCCATAATTTCCTTATTATGAACATCACACTAATAATCATGGTTCGATTGTAGTGAATCCCAAACTTGCTTTTTGGTAATTACATAGCTTGGAGCATATCTTTTTTACTAGCTCTATCTATAAAGAATAAAGTCGGTTTTCTTGATGGAATGAGTCCAAAACTAACCATAGCAGATCCTCTATTTAACTTTTGGACTTGATGTAACAATTTGATAGTGGCATGGCTTTTAGATTACATCTCACCACCAGTTTTTTGCATGGATAGTGTTTCAAAAATATGGAATACTTTGAAGTAGAATTTTGCACAACCCGGTTAGACACATGTGTGCAATTTACAATACACTTTAGGTAATATAAACTAGGGAACTAAAACTGTTCATTCATATTTCATTGAGTTTAAAAGCATTTCGGAGGAATTGAGAAACTTTAGGCCATTACTACATTATGAATGTGGTAAATGTAATCCAACTTGTTTTAGTAAGTATTTGAACCAATATTAAAATGATATGGTTTTTATGTTTCTCAATAGACTTAATGAGTCATTTTTGCTTTGAGGTCTCAAATAATATCCATGGAACCTCTTCCAAAGCTGGATAAAGCATATAATATGATTTTAAAAGAAGAATCTCAAAAAATTTTGTTGATACAGTCAAATCTAGCTATAGAATCATTTGCCATGATATCCACTGTGGACAACAAGAAGAAAACTAGAGTAGATTTAATGTGTAGTCACCGTGGAAAGAAAGGTCCCTACAAGTTAATAAGATTTCCTAAAGATTTCAAGTTTACAAAAGGTAAAGATAATTTCAAGAAGGCAAAATCGACTACTAACAGTGTTTCTACTAAAACCAATTCTTCTACAAAAAGTTCTATGCAATTTTATGAAGATGAAGAGGTTATTGGTATAAATACTATCCTAGATGTCATTCATTAAATATCAAGTTCAGAAATTGATGACACTTCTCAATGAGAGTGGTATAAACAATGATGATCTTTGTGACAGTTCACCAAATGCACAACAAACAAAACCTTCCTTGCTCAACTCAAATTTTACATGTATAATTTTTGGCTATTCTTGTTTCAATATTATGAATAATTTACTACTTAAGTACAAAAATTTTAATTACTCCATGATTAAACAAGATTCCAAGATTTTAGATATTGGTTCTAGTGATCATATATCTTGTTCTTTAAATAGTTTTAGTTTTGCTAAACCAGTCAAAAATTGCTATGTGTCTAGCAAAAGCTATTTCTTAGAGCTGACTATACATTTCAAAAACTAATGGACCCGTATAAAATTATGGATAAAACTTGAGGGTATTAAAGTATTTTACTCAAAAATTTAGTATATGAAATTTGTCCTTATGCTACAATGAAAAAACTATAATTTCCTTTTCATATTAAAAACATAACTTATGCTTTTGAAATTGTTCATACAGATGTATAGGGACCTTATGCAGTTCTTATTGTGAAGGGTCAATGTTATTTTCTTACTTTAGTTGAAGATTTTACATGTTTTACATGGATTTTCTTAATAAAAATTAAATTAGATGTGTCAACCATTTTGTTAGCTTTTTACAAATGTACTAACAATCAATTTTCAATTTCTATATGAGTTTTACGACAAATCATGGAGGAGAATTCAATCTTTTTGATTTGTAAACAAAACATGGTATAGTATATCAATTATCTTGTGTGAAGCATCTCAACAAAATGGAGTTGTTAAGAGGAAGTATCAACACATTCTTGTGCTAGCTAGGACATAATGTATCAATCATTCTTCCCTATTCCTTTATAGGGAAAAATAGTTCTTACTGTTACTCATATAGTCATCTAAATACTAATTAAGATTTTTCATGAAAAATCACCGTATGAAATGCTCTATTTTAAGTCTCTTTCTATTGACTATCTCAGAGCATTTGGCAGTCTATGTTTGTGTCTACATTGACACATAATAGAAGAAAATTAGACAAAAGAGCAACTAAATGTGTGTTTGTAGGATATCTAAGTGGCATAAAAAGGTATATAAGGTATATGCCATTAATGCAAACAAGTTTCTTATATATAAAGATGTGGTTTTTCATGAGCATATCTTTCTTTTTCAGTCATTATTGCATATTTTAGATTAATTTATATTTTTACAAACACCTGATATGCATGACTTTAATTTTGACATTTTAACTCCTAATATTGTGAATTTTCCACCTAATCCTCATTCTACAATTAAGTCATCTTCATTTACAGCTGTTACATTACTTGATACCACTTTTTCATCAAAATTTGTTGATATATCTCATTATTCCTTTGAACATATCACTGAGCATAGTCCTACAAAGTCAGTTTCTAGACCTAATAGTCATACTGCTAATATTGTTTCATTACTAGAAAGAGTAGTAAGCCTACATATGTTCCAAAGCATCTTGAAGCTTATCAAACTAATCTTCCTTATTTTTCTTATTCAGTTACATCACATCCTATTATTAATTTTCTTTCTTATCATAAATTGTCTTCTACTCATAAGACTTTTACTACTACTTTGTCTCAAATTTATGAACCTAAAACTTATGACAAGGTATTGACTACTCTTATTGGAAAGATGCAATGCAATGTGAATTGAAAGCTTTGAAGAATAATGGAACATGTAGTGTTATGTCTTTTTCTTCTGATTCTTTTACAATAGGTTGTAAGGGGGTGCTTAAGGTCAAAATAAATACAAATGGTACTATGGAAGGGTATAAAACAATGTTGGTAGTTAAGGCTTACAATCAAAGATAAAGTTTTGATTATCAAGAAATCTTCAATAATGTTACTAAACAGACTATTGTGAGGGTTTTCCTAGCTTTGTTAGCTATAAAAGGATGGTTTTTATCATAGTTAGATATTAATAATGCATTCTTGAATGGAGATTTACAAGAAACAGTTTATATAGATCTTCCCCAAGGTTATTCTGTTGAGGGGGACTATCCACTTGGTTCTAAATTAGTTTGTAAGCTGTATAAATCACTTTATGGTCTTAAGTAGGCTTCAAGGTAGTGGAACTCTAAGTTCACTACATCTCTACTGAAGTATGGTTTTACTTAGTCATTGTGAGATTATTCTTTATTTACTATGACAACAACCAATGGAGAATTTGTTGCATTACTAGTATATGTAGATGACAGAATCATTGCCAGCACCATAACTCCAATTGTAGATCATGTCAAAGTGTATTTGAGTTCTCAATTCAAGTTAAAGGATCTTGGAGAAGTGAAGTATTTTTTAGGCCTTAAGATTGTTAAAAGTAAGGAAAGAATTTCTATTCATCAAAGAAAGTGTACATTAGATCTTTTAAAAGAATATGGTATGCTTGGTGCAAAGCCCGTAACTACTCCTATAGACTATAGTCACAAATCGAGTAGAATTACTGATAATGAGAAAGTTGCAGATTCCACAAAATATAAACAATTGGCAGGCAAGCTTTTATATCTGACATTTACCAAGCTAGACATTTCATAGGCAGTTCATGTATTATCACAATTCATAAATAAACCAAAGTAAGACCACTTATTAGTTTCTTATTGAGTGTTAAAGTATCTTAAGTCAACTCTATGACAAGGGATATTAATCAAATCATATTCAAATTTAGTTATATCTGCCTATTCAGACGGTGACTGGCAAGGGTGCCTTGACACATGTAAGTTAGTCACTGGTTATTGTATAGTCTTGGGGAAGTTATTAGTTAGCTAAAAATCTAAGAAACAATTAGTTATTGCTTGAAGTTTAATAGAGGCAGTGTATCAATCCATGGCTTTTATTTGCTGTGAAGTCACTTGGTTAAGGTACTTATCGTTTTATTTTGGTATTAAGTATGAAGCAGCAATTAAACTTCACTGTGATAATCAATTTGCAATTTATATTTGTTGCTATCCTATATTCCATGAGCATGCAAAGCATATGGAAATGGATTGTCATTTCAGCTGTGAAAAGGTACTTGTAGGTGTGAGTAATCCTGTACATGTTTCTATAGATTGGCAAATTGCATAATTCCTTATCAACGCATTGCAACCAAACCAATATTACAAGTTACCAAGCAAGATGAATATTCAAAATATACATGCACTGCCATGAATATTCATCTTGAGGGGGAGTATTAATCTAGGAATGAAGATTAAAGAACTTGGTTGCAGTATTAATGAAGATTGAAGAACTAGGCTACGGAATCAAGTAAAGATGAGAAACATGTGCAGCTCATGTGTTTAGTTAAAAAAAAGAGAGAGACATGTGTACAGTATTTAAGCTTATTTACTAAAACTCATTGTTTTACTTTTTATTGTTTACTTTTAGTTAAATAGGAAGTTAGTTTGTTGCTAACTAACTTTACTACTTTTCGTTCCTTTGCAATAGACTTTTAAGCTTTTATTTTTCTTGTATAAATCTTGCTTTGTAATTTTTCATTTGAGTAATGAAAAGATTTTTCTTTCCACTCTCAAGCTTTCGTGATTTCCCACATAAAATACCTCCCAAGCTAACAACAAGAATTCAAGCACATCTTAGAACCTTCAAGACAATGTGTAATCCTATCTTTAACATTCAGCCTCCTATTGTGTATGTGCATATTGTAATTTCACGTCACCTTCATTTTCTGTCAGCAGAATTGTCCTTAGAGGAGAAATTGAACAAAAACAAAACCAGCAATGGCTAAGCAAGTAAGTATCCATGTAGGATAGTTCCATACATTACCTAGCTTTTCTTGAAATTTTTTATCCAATTTGTCATCCCACAAGTAAAAGCAATGCAAACTGAATCCGAACTAAAGACAAGTTAACAAAAGTTTCCAAACAAATAGAGTAGGTTGCTGCTGCTCATTATTTAGGAGAAAAGTCAACCTCCTTGGCCATTTTCTTTGAGTACTTTCTTGAAGGAAACCATAAGACTGCATAATTGTTCTATAAGACATTCAGTTCATTTTTATTAAATAATATGTGTTACCTAATTATATTAACTTATAGTTTTTACTTTAATAATTTACTTTCCTTTTTTAACTTTTACAAATGCAAAAGTCAAATATCTCTTTTATAGAATATTCAATATAAAATTTTTTCAACATTCAATTTTTAATAACATACCAAATAATTTTTATATAACAAATTTAGTACTTAAATTTTTCAAAAATAGAAATTCAGTATTTAAATTTTTTTAGTATTGAATTTTTTCAATGTATCAAATAATTTTAAAATTCGATTTCGCAAGTAAAGTAACATTAACTTAATTAAAAAATTGTAAAAGGCTAATAATATATATGTATATGTACCCTGTTCGTATGGTGTATATGTGTTTTTTTTTTCTTATTGAGTATGAAAAATAATTACTCTGTTTTATCATGTAATCACTTCCTTCACTCGCGTACTAGGCTTGTCAAAATCTAATGTGCATATAAAGCCTAAACAAATTGTTAAAAGAGATGGGCTTTCTTGCCCAAGTTTCCATTGTCACACTCCAAAGAAAAGTCCAAGCCTCCATGGTGCCAACAGCCCACACCAAGCCCAATGCTTACATTATTTTTTAAAATATTTTTCCATAGCCTTCGGTCCTTTCGTTCTTCACCACCTGTGAAGGCCGGCCACAACTGTTCCAATCATGGCTTCTCGACTATTTGCGACGGTGGCGGAGAAAATCAGTCCCGCAGCCGTGAGGCGGCAAGCCCTGTCGTTGACCGACGCAGCCGCTTCCAGAATCCGTCACCTTCTTCAACAGCGCCAAAGACCGTTCCTTCGATTGGGTGTTAAGAATCGCGGCTGCAACGGCTTATCCTACACCCTCAATTACGCCGGTTCGTCTCATATTTATTTTTAAAAAATTTTTATTTATGAAATGAATTAATGTTTTGGGAATTGATTTTATTTTATAGAATTGTCTCTATGAAATTTGATAGAGGAAAAAGGAAAGTTTGATGAGTTGGTTGAAGACAAGGGCGTTAGAATATTAATTGATCCAAAAGCTTTGATGCATGTGATTGGTACCAAGATGGACTTTGTAGATGATAAACTCAGGTATTCAAAAATTTGATCTTTTGGTTTTGTAATGCTGCATGTTTGTCATATCATAGTAGGGATTCCTAAGTTGAGAAGTATTTAATTGGATTTAAAGCCCTTGCACATGGTGAATCAATTATTGGGGAAATGAACCATTTAGTTGTGTTTCCGTGTTCTTCCTAAGTGGAAAGTAAATTTTTGTACTTAAAAACATTAGATGAACACTTTCAATTTCGTTCTCACTGGCTTTTTTTCTGAATTTATAATATTTCGACCATTGTCACATATGGCTGTACTTGTCTATCGTCATTCTTCTGGTAGTAACAATTGATCACAAATATGGCCGAATATGATTGATTTCAAGTCACCTTCTCCACATTGTTCTTATGGTTGCTCCATGTGCTTTGATAGACAAAGATGATGATGATGCTCCTTCCCTACTGTCCCATTCCTGCTTCCTCAACCATCTGTTGTACATTTTCTACATTTACATTGTTAATGCTATTGTCACTGGATGAAAAGGAAGGTCTCATGTAGAAACATCAAGCATGTAGGGAGCTTTGATATTAGTATGTTCAATTTTGATTGATATGTGCATGCCTGCGATTGAGTGCTGACTCCGAACATCACGAACATACTTATTTTCTTATCTTAGTTTTATTTGCTAAACGAAATTATGTAACAGAAACTGGCTTCTATGCATTGTTAATTTTGCGTGGCTCTTGTTATGAAGCCAGTGCTATCTGATTTTCTTCCTCTTTTAATTTGTATTTGACCTTTTCTGCGCAGGTCTGAGTTCATATTTATCAACCCAAACTCTGAAGGGCAGTGTGGATGTGGTGAATCTTTCATGACAACAGCTGGTACTAGTGGCGGAGCTGCTAAACAGGGTAGTGGTTGAAAATTACTAGAAGACTTGTAATAAGATAAGATTTGGACTAACCTACTGGAATTCCAGGGAGCTATAATCATTGCCTAAATTTGGCATTCAAAAGAAATTAATGGGAAAAGAAGTTGAGTATACAGGTGAAAAGAAGTTAAGCATACAGGTGAGGTTTTATAGCAGTAGCTGCCAACTGATCATATGAGTGTAGGTTCAAATATTGCTGTAACACTGATGCTACTTTGGCATCTGAAAATCATTCCATTTGTTGATGCGTTTGTTAAGTTACATAAGTTGTAATAAAAGTTGAAGTACTTCATCATTGAAGCTAGCTTGTGATTGTTGTTTCCATCAATCCTTTTATCCTTTTAAAGGGATAGCACTTGAAATGCTTGATGAATTCCTATTAGTTTTATCAGATAACATTTGTAATATGTAGATCATAAGATGTATGTCGTTTTAAGTTTTAGTTATTTGCAATGTGCAAATTAGCGCTACTTAGAAGTTAGGAGCTGTGATTTCTACAAATTAGGACCTGTGATGGTTGCCAACGTCTAGGAACGAGAACTGTGAGATAAGTGCCTCCAACTAATCGTGAGGTGTCTTTGAAAACAATTTGAGTCGGTAAATTTATGAAGTATCGCTTTGAACCTTTACCAAAAGAACAAAAACGGTTTTAGTTAAATTAAAAGTTAATCACATATTTGGTTTCTGAATTTAGGTAAAAAAAAAAAAAAATCACAATCTACATTACCTTTCAATCTTGCATGCAAACGTACCTTAAACACGGCTAATGCATTGGAGCCTATGATGTTTGACCAATTTTTGTTGACCTTACATGGAATTATCAGTATCCTTTTTGACATTAATTTGGAAAAGATATTCTTTTCACCTGGACTAAAAAGTTATAACCAATTGTTGGATGCCTCGTGTCACATGGATCATTGTCAAGTTTGTTTAACATGTCACGTACACACATGTCATAATTATGTAATGGTGAGTGCTATAGTAAGTCTACTCTTACCGTAAGCTAGATTAATGTAAGTTTTAAAAAATAATAAAAACCAGTTTAATAAGTTAACAGCAAAACAATATACTTAATTTTTACACTTATTGATTTTATGATAACAACATAGATAATTTTTAAAGAAGAAATTATGAGAAATGACCCTCTTCATAAGCTCAATTTAAAAATATATTTTATTATAATTTTAACTATTTTTAACTAATTTTGCAATGACTTTACAATAATACTTTTAAACAATTTGAGAAAAATTAAAATAGTTTCGATTTTCTCTATCTCGCCCTTCAGATAAAATTTTTAAAATTAAACCTTAATTTCTCTCTCTTGCCAAATATTGTTTATCTCACTATTTAGCTATTTCTTGCTATCCCAAAAAATAAAAATGACATCAAAGTATATGTTTTAGATTCTTGAGTTTATTAGTTTATTCATAGAACTCCAAAATTGAGGGGTTAAAATTGATTAGACATATGTAAATTAAAATACTGTATGATTCTGGCAACTTAAATCTGACTGCAAGCAAGCAAATCAATTAGTTATTAGGTATTACATTATTGATTTTTAGGTATTGCAACGTGATTTAATCATTACATAATTGATTTTTAGACATTGCGTGATTGATTTTTAGACAACATAATGCCTAAAAACTAGTCACGTAATGTCTTACTAACTAGTCATGCAATGCTTATCAACTAGTCATACAATGCCATATTAACTAATTATACAATACTTAAAAATCAGTTGCCCAATGCCTAAAAACTAAACACGCAATGCTCAAAAATTGATTATACAATGCTTAAAAACCACAAAACTACTGAATTTCATTTAACAAAATTAATAACTTTAAACTACGTATCATATTCCATTTAACAACATAATCAACGAATATACTTACTTGGCGAAGAATGCTTAAAAATACTCAAAGGTTTTTCTTCGTGTATCAAAAATTACTTAAAAATGCTTAAAAATACTCAAAATGCTTAAAGGTTTTTCTTTGTGTATCAAAAATTACTCCACAATGCTCAAAATGCTTGAAGGTTTTTCTTTCTGGCAAGAAATACGATAGAGATGAATGGTATGACGAGAAAGCTTAAATGATATGAGTCGGTTTGAGGTACGAACCTAAACATATAGGTTGGTTTCATTAAGGGTAATTTATTCAAAATTAATTTCTCTTGGCTAAAAATAATTAAAATTATAGAAAGGGTTATTTTCAAAAACACCCTACGTATAAGGAGTGTTTTTGAAAAGAACTCATTTTTAAATTTATTTATTTTATTTTAATTGTTATTTAATTTTTATTTTTATTTTATTTTTTACCTTAAAATCAAAGGTTGAGGGAAAGGGGTGGCCGTTTTTAATTATTGTTATTTTAATGTGTATAAAAGCCAACTCCCAAACAAATCGAAAAAGTCTTTTTAATTTTTAATCATTTTTATTTTTATGTAGTACATTCCAAAGGACAAAGCATGTAATTTTTTTAATACACACTTTTTACCTAATATAATAGTTGTAATATAAAGTTATTTAGTATCTCTTTTATTCGTTGTCTCAATATAATATCCATTCAAACGAATATATTTAAAACTTAATAAGTTTTTTTGAGACTTAGTAGAAAATAATACATTTTTTATTATAAATTTTGTTCCTTCAAGTCTTGAAATATTAGCTCTTCCAGAGCCTTCAATTAATTTTGTACTACCAGATATTGTATAACATTAGTTTCTTCCATTGTCAAATGAGAAATATATTTCTTGTCTTTAAATATAGTATGCATTGTAGCACTATCTATTAGACATATATCTTCATCATTAATCTTGGATCTAACTAGATGAATATCCATATTTTCTTCAAGAAAATAAAATATATATAGTAAGAAACTTATATAAGCGAACATTAAATATAAACTTTGTTATTAAAATACAAAAATCTTCCTAATAGACATATTAAAACACATTAACTTCTAAACATACCAAGTTCCAAATAGAGTTGTACTAAAACATATCAACAAATAATTTAATAAATTTCATTATTGGGATTTCTATCACTAATCAAATGATCAATCCGTCCTTTAGGGTGGGCAAAAAAATCAACAACATCCAAGTGTGTTATATCAACTTGGCTATCATCTTCAACAAAATTTGTTTCGATATTTTTCTTTTATCTTTTAATGATGTTTGATAAAGTTTAACAATATGTTTTGATGTTTCGATACATCTTTTACCAATGGGCTTTCATGCCACATTGATAACAAACATTTTCTATATTCTTTTTACTTTGTCTATTTTTGTCTTTTTCTTATATTTCTTCACTATTCATCACTTCTGGTGGATGTTCTTATTATTATAATAATAATAATAATTCATGTAACCACTACGATTGCGATAATTATGATGACTTTTTTTATGTCCATGATTACGACCACGATTACAACCATGACCACAACCAGAATTTCTAAATGATGTCGCATTCATTTCAGGGAATAGAGCAGAACCAGTTGGGCGAGATACATGATTTTTTATCAATAGCTCATTATTTTCCTTAGTCACAAGGAGATATAAAATCAGTTCAGAGTATTTCTTAAAGGGTTTTTCACAATATTATTGCTGTAGGAGCACATTTGAGGTATGAAAAGTCGAGAATGTTTTTTTTAACAAATCAGCATCAATTACCTTTTCTTTACACAATTTTAGTTTAGAACTAATTCTATATAATACTGAGTTATACTCAATTACAGTTTTAAAGTTTTGCAATCTTAGATGCATCTAATCATAACGAGCCTTTGGCAGAATTACTGTTTTCTAGTGATCATATCTTTCCTTTAGACTTTTTCAAAGATCGACTAGATTTTTTTTTATGAGATACTCAATTTTTAATTCTTTATAAAGATGGTGGCAAAGGAAAATCATTGCTTTTGCCTTATCCTAATTGAATGCTTTATTTTCTTCTTTGATTGTATCTCTAAGACCCGTAGCATCTAAATGGATTTTAGAATATATAATCCAAGATAGATAGTTCTTGCCAGTAATATCAAGAGCCACAAATTCAAGCTTTATAAGATTTGACATTGTGATAGTTTAAAAGAAGAACATAAATATTAGCATTACAATATACCGTAATTGGCAAGCAAAATAATAAATTGGTTGATGAAAAACACTTAATATAAAATTGAAAATTGACTTATTATAAATTGGTAAAATTTGAGCAAAACAAAAAACTAAACCCTAAATAAAAATTACCTGAAGAAAAATTGAAGCTTGAAAGTGAGAGATTAGAGAATTGTGCTGATAACTAGTTATGAAAAATAATTTAAAACAACAAATAAAGATAACTTGAAAGAATAATTAAAAAGAAGAAAGAAAGTATTTAGTGGAGAGAGAAGAGATCTTTTTGAAGTGTATATACAAATGAACTAAGGGGGCCTATTTATAGGTAAATAATCTATTTACAAGATGAAGATAATATTTAGAGATTAGATGGATTAAATCCTAATCCAATCTAAGTTATATCAAATCTAGATATAAATAACATGAATGGATATTCACAAAATATTCATAACAGTTTCATTATAATTTTAATTATTTTTTACCAATTTTTGTAATGACTTTACAATAATACCCTTTAAACAATTTCAATCAAATTAAAATGGTTTCGATTTTCTCTATCTCACCATCCAGACAAAAATTTCAAAATTAAATTCTAATTTCTCTCTTTTGTCAAATATTATCTATCTCACCATCTGGCTATTTCTTGCTATCCAAAGAGCAAAGATGATATCAAGGTATATGTTTTAGGTTCTTGGATTTCTTGGTTTATTTATAGAACACCAAAGTTAAGGGGTTGAAATTGATTAGACATATCTGTAAATTAAAATACTGTATAACTTTAGTAACTTAAACCTGGCTGCAAGAAGGCAAATTAATTAGTTATTAGGTATTGCATTACTAGTTTCTAAGTATTGCGAAACTGATTTTTAAGCATTACGTGGCTTAATCATTGTATGACTAGTTTTAGATATTACGTGACTGGTTTTTAGACATTGTATGATTGATTTTTAAGTAATGCCTAAGTCACACAATGCCTATCAACTAGTCATATAATGTCATATCAACCAGTTACGTAATACTTATAAATCAGTCAAAAAATGTTTAAAAACTAATCACGTAATGTCTAAAAACTGATTGTGTAATGCCTAAAAACTACCAAAACTACTGAATTTCATTTAATAAAATTAACAATTTTAAATAAACACCATATTTCATTTAACAATATATCTACTTGATGAAGAATGCTCAAAACGCTCAAAGGTTTTTCTTCATGTATCAAAAACCATTCTAAAATGCTTAAAAATACTCAAAATGCTTAAAGGTTTTTTTTCGTGTATCAAAAATCACTTTAAAATGCTCAAAATGTTTAAAGATTTTTCTTTCTAGTAAGGAATATTTAAAAGATAAATGGTTTGACGAGGAATTCTGCGAAATATATGAATCATGCTCTTTTAGGTTTTTTAAATTCTGTAGGTGGCGTAGTTATCGAGATCAATGCAGTTAATTATGTCTCTCTAAGAAATTGGTTAGCTGCCTCTCATTTTGTTTTAGGGTTGATTTGATTGACTTATTATGTTAAATCTTACATATTTACGTTAATATTTTAGTAATATTTGTTTCATCTTTATGATTTTTTACGTTAATTCTTACAAGTTTATGTTAAAACTTTTCAATTATTAATTTTCACTATAGTTATTTTTATCTTTATTATTTTTATTTATAAATTAAAATTTGTAAATTGGTAAATAACTTTTAATTCAATAATATAAATTTAAATGTTTAATTTTCACAAAAAAATATGTTTATTTTGACGTAATTGACTTTTTGCACTAACTCTCACATATTTAGGTCAATATTTTAACAATACTTATTCCACTTTTATGATTTTTTATGTTCATTTTTATAAATTTGAACCAAGATTTTCAGTTGTTAATTTTTACTATTATTATTATTATTAAAATTTATATATCGTTAAATATTTTTAGTTTATGAATATAAATAATTTGCATAAAGAAAATTAAGAAAATTAAGAAATGAAAGCAATGAGTGGCAGCCATGCCTAACCGTAGGGCCACAAGATGTTCAAGTAATGCCAAAAAAAAAATCAAAGATTATCTTGCAGACCCATCCTACGTTGAAAAAATGAAAATTAAGAAATGAAAGCAATGAGTGGCAGCCATGCCTAACCCAAGGGCCACAAGATATTCATTAATGTTCAAGTAATGCCAAAAAAAAATAAAACAACTTGCAGACCCATCTTACCATTGTTAAACAGTAAAAGCAATGACGCGGAATATATCACTAAAGAGAAGCAATTTGAATCCACCTACTCACAAAATGCAAAACCGATTCTTTAAGTTTACCGGTTATATATGTCCACGGCTTAGATTTATTTTGACTTTTAGTCACGGATTTTACAGTAAGGTCATATGCGGCGTGCAAAGTGAACAGGGCTAGAAATTCGGTGCATAGCGGTGGATGGTGTCTTTCATTAATATCCGATTTCTTGATCAGCTCAACGGAATAAGCCCTTTTTATCTCACGTGTTCTTTGTTCTTACAAGTGTTGAAGCTTATTTTCTGATGTTGTGGCTGTTCAATTCTCAAATCTCTGAATAGTTTCATCCTCAACTTGAAGCTTTAGATGAAAAACTTCAATGATAACACATGGAAATCATAGTTATTAAATAATTGACCGCCCTCGGGAAACTTTGGGCCAAATTTTACAAAGGAGACTGAGATATACCAAAACAATTAATGACATGCCTATGTCTGAGCTACAGACCTCTGTAGCACTAAAAGCAAATTTAGACTTCAGAATTTGATTATTTATAAGAATTTCGGAAAGTCTTCCTTCTCTTAGATGCCCTTCAGAGTTGAGGTGCTCAAATTTTCTTCATTTCAGACTCTTCCCCTCTCTAGCTTTTAGGCCATTGGTCCTGGAGCTTCCATCACCAATGCCTGAAAATCCCATGGATTTGTTTGCGTAAACAATGCAAGTGATGCGATTGCGAGATGATGATGATAAAATGACGAACAACTCCTCAATAGTTTACCTAATTCACCCCCTTTTGCTTTACAATGGACAACTCAGAGTTCTTCTCAGTATTCTTAGTTTCTCTTTAGCTTTTTGGGATTCGGTTTGTGTTTTCATTTCCCTTTCCTCAAAGTACTGCAAGAAACAGGTACACCAGAATTAGAAGGAAACAAACCGAGAAACAAATCATAGAAATTTAACGCCACTGGGTGCATATATTGCCATCAAATGCTTGGATTTTCCCTGCCTAAATGTACGCCAAACATTGTTATGGGGCAACACTGAGCAAAAGAGGAACATGAACTATGCAAAAACATTCTCTTTATCTTCATTTTTTCCTGCCTCGGTGCACTTGGAATCAGTTAGATGATTTACCTGTTGCATCCTTCTCCTCTCGAGTTCTCCCTGTTAAAATGAGAGTAGAATGAGAGTAATAAGTTGTTCAGATAACAAATGATAAAAAGCTAAAGGAGCAATTCGTTGAAAATGAACTAAAGTAACAACGGTGTTACCAGAGCCTGCTTAAGATGGGCATTCTCTTGTTTCAATTGGTTCAATTCTGCTTCTAGCTCGACTGTATACGCCTGTAAAATCAAATCAACCTTCGTAAGGATGGGCACCTTAAGATCAGTAAAACTAATTACAATGTTGCATATTCCATTTCTCCAAGAATCTCCAATGATATTACACCGGTCAATTCCCATTTCTTATTAAATTTCATTTTTCTTGCTAAACCAACCTAAACTTTTAAGCAGTTGTCAATTAGTCATGCAGATCTTGTTTTTACCAATGCCATTGAGTACCACTCACAAGTCGTTTTCCATTTCCGTTCATGAAATATGTAGTTTATTTCTGTTCTATAACCGGGCTTTTAGATTTCCTACTACATATCATGAACTTGAGTACGCATTAATTCGATCACTACGATTTATCTCTCGAGTCTGTGTTACGCTAATGGCTATAGAGTTCGAGTAAAAGAAGGATTTAAAAGCAGATGAGGGAACTAGGCCCTTTGCCATGAGAGTAGACCTTTGTGTTTAGTAGTATAAAAATCATAAGTTGAACACATCGACATATCTAAAATACATTCCTTTGGTTCTCAGCGACTAAGAAAAAGAGGGAAGTCTAGTCAAGGTTCGTCCATCGCCTAATCACTGGTGAAGAAACCACTAATGGAAGACACGTTCATTCTTGTAACATTTAGGCCTAGTCACTAGAAGAAGATTTCTTTCCACTAAAAATTGTGACCCAGAGAAGCAAACTATATATGTCAAACAACTGATTTTCCCACGTATGCATTCGCTTCATCAAACATTATAGCTATCAGTTCAATATATTAGTAGTACCTGTTTTCTAGCTCTAGACCTTGCAGCTGACTCCCTATTCTTAATCATCCTGCGTTGCCTTCTCTCAACCACCTTCTCTATTGGACCATCAATGATCCTTTTCCTTCCCCTTAGTCCGCCCATATCCATCCCAAATTGATTAGCAGCATTATCAACTTGACTGTTACACATCCCTTCTGATGATACTGGACTCATTGGTGACACCACTCCCATTGCCTGTCCAGGTACATAGGCACCAGCAGCAGCTACCTTCCCTCTATAACAAACTGTCGTTGGTGGCGGAGCAGTTGGCTGATAGCCACTACCCCTCTTACCATCGTTAACATACCCAGATGAATCACCGATGACTCCACCTGGAGGCATTGTCTGGTATGCACTCACACCAAAGCCACCATTGCTACCCACTCCCACAATAGGCCTGGAAACAAACCCTGGACACCCCGCAGCGTTATTGCCAGTCTGATACAACCCATATTGCCGCTGGTGCTGCGGAGGCGGTGCTGGTAGAATGCATTTTTCCCTTACTACCCCTGCCTTAATCAAGAAATCCTCCAAGGTCATCTCCCCAAAAGTTGGCTGCCGGGTTCCATTCTCAGCATTCTCTACATTGCTATTGTTGCTCTGTCCTTGTCCTTCCTGCCCTTTATGCATCTCAGACCAAACTTCATCAACAGTCTTCCTACATAGCGGTGCAGGAAGCGTAAGCGAGCCTTGCCTTGGCAGGCTAGGCTGCTTAGCTATGCCTTTATTGCTTGTTGTTTCATTCAACAACAAATGAACATGGCTGGTAACTTGTTTATTTGCACAGTTGCTCTGCTGATTGTTAATGTTGGAGTTGATAGCTTGGTTTTCTTCAGCGTTCCAGATGCTGGTAATGAACTCGTCCATGTTCATGGACCCGAAGTTCTTCCCATCCTCACACAACGTTTGCTGGAACTCATCAAGAGTGAGGGAATAGATTGAGGATTGCCTTCCAAGGGACGAGAAAGGGTGGTTCTTCTGCTGCTGATCCACCTGCAACGATGACTCAACCTCGCCAATCTCAGATTCCGTAATCACCATTTTCTGATGAAAGCTGTGAAGCTACGGCTCTTTGATGATTGATATAGCAATACCAATTGACCTGTTTGCTAACAAAAAGAAAAAAAAAAAGAGGAAGCAAAAGTGGATGGAGAATTAGGTTCGGAAAAGGACACTAATGTCACAAAGAAAGAGACCATGGAAATCTTGTTTTAAACATATTCCACTAACATACCACTCAAAATGAGATGATAATTGATGGATAAGTATTGCAGCAGTTTGCCACAGGTGGGTCCAAGCCTGATTCTTGAAAATGAACCCTACCTGTAAGCAGTGGGGAAGATAACAAATTGAAGTAGCTAAATTAATTTTGGGGGAAAAAAGAAAATCTACAAAGGGTACATTAGATTTCCCTTAGAATAGTCTACACTAAATTATAGCACATGGGTTGTAAGTTCCAAAAACCAGACTCTCTCTCTCAATTCAACAGGCAACAGTATGTAGAAAATAATAGTGGAAACTAATTATGGCAGATTAAATTCAGAAAAGCTAGTATAATAATTGAGGGAACAGAATAATTAAGAAAAAAAAAATTTGGGTGTTTTGACAAAAGCGTCTAAAGTGGCTGCAGCAGTGGGAATCTATAGCCTATCTTGTTAATTTCCTCTCCACCATCATCCACGAATTAAAATAAAAGAGACTACCAATGATGGTAGAAGGTGCTTTAAATTTCCAATTACTTCCTTATAGTTGAAGAAATTAAATACCAACACTTTCCTTTTGGTAGGTCACAGTAATCTTCAATAGTGTTTCCAAGTCTTATTACAAACCCTAACTTAAGTTTTTTCATACTTGTAATCACTATCTTTTAACAGAAAAATGCTAGTATTTCCAAATCTTAATCAGTTGGTTCCTTCCATATTCGTCACGTTAGCTTTGATGCTGACATAATTAAGCCAGTCAGATCGCTGTCAAAAAATCAAAGCTGACGTGGATCAATCAGAGTCACACGATGAATGGAAATTATGTGAATGCGGAATTGAGAACCATGCTATGTTTGTCATCCAGTGAAGGTGATGCGATTAGGCAAAAGGGCTGAGGGTGGCTCTCGGACCAAGTTATTCATAATCACGACAAAAGAAAAAAGCTCACTCTGCCCAAAATTTTGTAGGAAAAAAAATGTGCGGCTCCTAAAAGCGGAATATTGATATGGGTGGCCGAGAAGGAAAAGCAAAAGAATCTTTCCTATTATGGCCAAACATGGTAGCAGCCATTAATTAATTAAGTGTCACTAAGTTAAAATCAAACAAAGCTTTTTTGACTCTCAGAAGGGATTAGAAAACTAGTTTAACGGAAAAGTACAAATAAAAAGGAAAGGGTTATGCAAATATCAAAGCTAGTTAGCTACCTATTATCCTCTCTACGAAGGGGGTGGATGGCCCAAGGAAGGAGCTAAGCGTGTTTAATCTACAGCAACCCCAAGTTAATGGCAAGCTAGGTTAATTGATATAGTCTTTTCACAATTCATTTTTTTTTTTTTTACAAAAAAATGAAGGGAGGGAAGAGAGCTTGTTAACACAAAAGTTATACAAGAGGAAGGAGTTGTTAAGATCAAAGTTATAAGTCTATTGTAGAAGAACAATGTCTTAGTCATGATACTAGTTTAATGTAAAACTAAACCTTGACTATAAAGAACACATGCATATGTGCCATAGAAGAAATAAAGCTTCTCAGCAGGCATCCAAGAATGTTTCAGATTTAAAACTTAATCATCAAAAGAAAGAAAGGAACCCCCATTCAACCAAATGAAAAAACCACATTAGTTACATACCTGATTATTCCAACAAGCGAGCGATCGAAGAGAATTGATCAACTGAAAAATGCTTTTGGGAGTTTTAACAATCCAGCAGGGTGGTGGGTGGATCTATAAAACCAACATTAAACTACTTTTGCAAGCTTTATCTAACAATATCATGAATCAGGAAAAGAGTTGCAGAGGGAAAAAAACAATTGGAAAGGTTTTGGTTGAAGAAGATCTTTGGCAGTGGCTTGTATGACCAAGGGACGGGAGGACTCTTAACATGCGCAGTGAGAGCACAAGTATTTATGTTCCCAGAGGAGTGGGGTCCAACGCGGGCTATAAAGTCAATATAAATCAACCATGCACGGAGTTGAAAACAAAAATTGGTCCAAAGGTATCGGGCTTGGTCTGCTCGACACGTATCGGCCATGTGGCTTGTTCGGCCTTTGTTTTGGTGCTCTTAGCTCAACGCGTGTGCTCATTCCTGTAAGCTGAGCTCCCACAGGTTGGCTTGTTATTGGGGCCAGAGGTAATTAAAACCTTCTTCATAGCCTTGTTTAGTTTATTCTCTCACATTTTAATTTCATTAGGTCAAGTTACTTAAAGCTGATCCATTATGGTTATGGAGTTTAGTATATATTGAATTTATTTCATGATAAATACATGAAAAAATTTATGGGAAATTTCTCTCAAGGAGGCAGACACTAAAACTTATATAACATCATGGATTTCAATATAAAAAAATGTATACTATATTTCTCTCATGGACTAAAATTTGTAATATCATAGAACATCTAAATGATTAAACTTTGTGCATGTAATTAGTTAGGAAATAAATTAAATTACAACATGAATAGAACTTTAACTTCCAACAACAACGATAGCTTTTAGCGTTATGGAATTAGGGTCGAATTAGCAAAACTTAACACAGAAACATAATTTTATTGAGAGAAGGGAAACAACCCTTCGAGGATTTTGGATAATGTTTAATTTAAAGATCTTCCAGCATCAAATAGTTAATCTGGTTGGGAGGGAGGAAGAAGTAATGGTAAATAATTAAGGTGTGAGCACTATCCACCCAAGCTCGTCTGCATAGTTAATGTTAGAGCATACGAGGCACGTGCAGTTTTGTTCCTAAGATTCTGTGATGGATGTTTTTGGCTTTAGAGTTTAAGAACAACAAGATCTGTGGATTCGTTTGGAAACCGCTGTTTCATTTTTGGAATACTGGGAAGCCTGTGTATCAATTAATCACCCGTCCGTCTTTTTCATTTAGTCTTTGTTTCTGGTTTTTTTTTTTAATTTTATTTTGGGTCTTACATTATGTTCTATATATCAATAGTTATTAATTATTTACTATTATATGCATTTTACTTAACAAATAGTTGTGATAAAATATCAAAATGATGGTAGTGTTTATATTAACTTTGGATTTATGTAAAAAGAAAAACTTAGTCACTTAACAAAGGTTAATATTTAAAATCTTGAATTGAAAGATGAAACAAGAACAAATGACGAGGTACACATACGTTATGTCTTGAAAGATAAAACTTTGAAATTAGATAATTGTTATGAATTAAAACGTCACTTATTATTTTATATTTATATAATATTGATGTAGATGATTCATATCATTTTGTCATATCATCATTTTGTAGAACTTTTCAACATGTCATATTAATATTATATTATATAAAATAATAAATAATATTTTAATTAATAATAATTAATTAATTATTAATTATAAATATTTATTTTATGTAAAATAAAAATATAAAATTTTAATCAAACATAATAAATAATTTAAAAACTCTTTTAGATATTATGTGTACCCAAAACTTAATAATACAAATAAATAGCGTCACTTCCTTGGTCAAATTGATAGTACTGTTATAGCTTTAGCCCATTTAATAGGCATTTGCACTCTCAACAAGGAAGAGTGAAGGCTTCGATAGCTGTTTCTTTCTTTTCCCTTTTTCTTGGATAACCCTTTTTTTTTTTTTAACATTTTTATCGTTGGGAAGAAGATATAGCCATCTTATAATTACCTATTTTATTTATTTTTCGAAGAAAATAAATTAAAATAAATAAAATACTCAACTTCACAATTTTTTTTGTTGGGGCATAATAATTGGGTCACTGATCAGAAGTTCGTTTTGGGCCTTATTTTTAAGATGGCTGTAGAGGCCGACGAATAGAATATAGGCCCAATTAGTTTATCAAAGGCCCACAAAGAAACGAAGAAATGTGCATGCCAATTGCATCTCAAATATATAAGATTAAAAGAAATCATGTTTGCAAATCGATTTTCCTTTTTGTTTTTAGTCTTTTAAAATGAATAAAACATTATTTGTTCCCACAAGTTCTCATTACCCATAAGATTCGAATTTGAATATATATATGAAAATTGGAGAAAGTATACACTTACACTAGTATACAATTAAATTAGTTTTATAGCCTTTCATTTTATACAAGTTGTATGTTGTTAATCAAACCTTTTGCTTTTATACTCTATTCATGTAAATTATGCATGTCAAATTTTATGTTAATTGAAAATGATCTAACAATTTGTTTGATTATAATAAAATTTCAATCATTAAATATATATTAAAAAAGACAATAATTTTTGATCAATATGATAAAGATATTGAATTTACTTGAAAATATACGTGCATAAAATCTAACGATTGATTTATTAAATATTAATTGTACATCAAAATTGTATAAAAGTATAAAATTAATTAGTTTTACATTGATGTAACTTGATACTTCTTTAAATTGAAGTTCATATATAATTTCCCAATCATTTACTTTACTTTCAAGTCTCTAATTAAAAGTTCAATCCGATCAAGGATTTTTTTCCCTTAGAAAGAAGGTTTAGCTAATACTACTACTTTATCAATTAAACTAGGATCAAACCAATTTTTTTTTCCATTAAGTTTGACTAGTAAAAAAAAAAACAGAAAAACATTAACATAAGGTCAAGTTTAGATTCTGAAACTTTTTGCAACTTAACTATTCCATACACAAGTGGTTGTGTATAAGAGGTTTGGAATTCATTCAAATACTTTATTATTTTTTATTTGTTTTATTCATTTCAAATTCTGAGTTTTTTTCATATTCAAGTTTTGACCTTTTAATCCAGTGGGATATGTGGGGATTTATAGATTGGTTGTGAGACCTCTACCTTCAACGGAGGGGCTCATTGCTCTCATCATGGCTACACTACCACCAGTTAAAAAAAGGATGGGGACCGGGAAGGAAAAGAACAGTTGATGATACTGCAGTCAGCATTGCCCGGGTGCAATATTTTCTGTTTGTTGGTAAATTGACACAAAGATTTATACGTCAGACATATGTCATAATTTATGCGATAAATTCATAATAAATTAATTATCTTGTCTTATATATTATCGTGTTAAAAAGAAATTAATGTTGTATGTGAAAAGTAGATATATATTTAGATATTTATGTATAACATAATAGCAATAATTTGATAACTTATTCTCATCCTGGCCTGGTTTGTACAGTCCAACACTTACCAACTTCTTTGAGTAATGTACCCCGAAAATAAGAGTTGTCCCAGCTACAAACCCAAAAGTCAAACCCTAAACCCAATAATTTGATCCACTAACCCTCTCACCAGTGAATAAAGAACTATCATCACATGGAGAAACGAGTGGAGTTAATCATGACTCAAGATTTCAAGTTTCTTTAATTTCAAGCAAAGGATAGCTGAATTTTTACAGCAAAATCCGGCATGTTTAACTTTGATTGGATCGATTGGCTTGGCTCGACGCATGCAATCGATTGTCCACGCGGACGATCGACATCAAGAATATACAGTAATCATTACAATGATCCATCGATTGCCTTGCTCTCATCATTTTCTAACTTTTCTAAAACTTGGTCTTGGAATTTTGTTTATAAAGATGAAAAATTTATAATAATGCAGTGTAAGGTATTGGCAGATAAAAGATCATTAAAAAAGGTCCCTACTAACATAATAGTCTGATACACACTTCCATGACATCCGCCTGAGATCGTGCTTATCAAACCTTTTGGCTTTGTAATTATGTATGGAGCCTATTTAGCTTTAAGGTTGTAGCTTACTTTAAGTAACTCGCCAGTTTACGGTTTATTTGCTTCTATATAAACCCACATGAACTTTCTCTACAAGTGATTTAGAGTTGCGTTTGTGTATAGTGACAGCATAGAAGAGGGGAAACAATGGTGGTACTAAAATTGTGGGTTTTGTTGCTCATTGTCTCCATGCATGGCTATGGCACATTAGCCTCAGATCCTGACCCAATTCAGGATTTCTGCATTCCAAACCCCAAATATGGTGCTATAGGAACAGCTCATCTCAGCATTCTGCCATGCAAAAACTCCTCAGAAGCAACCACCGATGATTTCGTGTTCTCTGGCTTAAAAGCCATTGGAAACTTCAGTGACACAGGCCTTGCTACAATCCCTGTCAATCCAGGAGTATTTCCAGGGATTAACACACTAGGCATGTCATTCGTGCGTGCTGACCTGAAAGCTGGTGGGATTAATCCTCCTCATTTTCACCCTAGAGCAACTGAAATCGCGTACGTGGTGCAAGGCAGTGTTTATTCAGGCTTTGTTGATTCAAACAATCGTGTTTTCGCCAGGGTGATTGAGCAGGGAGAGGTGATGGTGTTTCCACGGGGTCTGGTGCACTTTCAGATGAATGTTGGAGAGAAGCCCGCCACAATTTTTGCAAGTCTTAACAGCCAAAATCCAGGACTCCAGAAGATCCCAACTGCTATTTTTGGATCTGGTATCAATGAGAAGCTATTGGAGAAGGCCTTCGGCCTGACTCCTAAGCAGATTGGGACTATGAGGAGAAGATTTGATCCCAAAACAGTGAGGTAAATTCATGACCGTTGGAAAGATTGTCATAGAAAATTTGAAGAGTAAGTTAAATGGCTTTGCTGTAGTATGATGAAGGTGGAAGATTATGCTGTTTGTTTATATAAGTTATAAACTCTGTTCGTTTATACTGCACTTGGAGCTGCAACTAGTTTCCATCACATCTCAAGTGTTGCACCCAAAGTTTTAATTTAATTTATTTTTCTATGGGATCGAATTTAAACTTGATTTATGTTCTATAGAACCATGATAGGAAAACTGTTAGACATGATATAACAATACTATATGACACAAGTCAGATGAGCTAATGAGCAAAATAGGGGTATTCATTTATAAGTGCATGATGATCACACAGTGAGAACATAT